TAATTTCTTTCTAATTATAATAATACCTATTATTTTGTATAAAATAAAAAAAATGTATATTTTTTATGTAACTTGTGTAAGCTACATATTTTAAAATATATATTTTAAAATACAATATATTTTTAAGAAAAGTAAATTAAATGTTATTTCTCTCATATTTCTATATCATATTATAAAATATATACATAACTATTAATTAAAAATATTAACAATACATTCTAAGTAAAACAACTTAAATACTATAAAATGGCTTTATTTTTCCCTGAGTTCACCCTTCGCTTACTATATTAAAATTACATTATAAGTAAAACAGCTTGTAATTATTTCTGTCGTCCCTTCCTCCTTCGCTTGTAGGTGCACCGACGTAGCCAGTTCGCCCTTCTTCTCTGCACTTCTCGAAGTATTTGGGAAGCATTTGGATCAATAGCAAGCTCTGTTGTCCACGCCGAACGCTAACACCTCGTCTCCTCTGTTCAGCGATCAGGGACGTCGTCGCATTCGGCTCATCCCTAGAAGGAGAGTATTCCTCTTCATTCTTATTTTTCTTCTTCCTCACCTCGCCTCCGCCTCACTCACTTTCCCTCTCTCGTTCACCAGAGAAAACATTTTGCTTGATCGCGAGAGACTGGAGAGCACAGGGTAAAAGAGGGAAAAGCCGATCGATAACGCGGGCCGCAGGGTCGATCCTGCGGCCAGCGTTCCGCCTATTTTAGCAGCGAGTGGCCGCGAACGCGTCATCCAAACAAAAATTTTTTTATCAGCTTCGTGATTTTGGGCCACGCTGCGCTAAATACGCGGCCCCAAACGGAGCCTTAGTTTCCAAAAGTTAGGGTTATTGAATTTATTATTTTTTCTTTTGTATATTCATAATATTTTGTTTATATAATTTGTATATATTTTTTAATGATTTTTATTATAATGGGGTGTCCGACGTGTGTTTGTGTCTTATATTTTCAATAATAGACGTGTCCCCGTGTTTGTATCCGTGCAACATAATAACAAACAAAATCAAAAAAGATGAATCCTTTTCTAGAATGCATGTTTAAGTTCCAAAATAAAACATGACTCTTAGACCACTAGTAAACAAAAGAGATAAGGTGAACTTGGCTACAAAGCCTTGAATATAAAGAAGAAATATGATTGTTGCAAACCTAATTTCTAAAATCAACCAACGTGGTTTAAAAAATCAACACTATTATTCAATAATATTTTTATTTGATCTAACAAGAATATTTTAACAACTGCTTTGTGTTATATCATTAAAAAACACATCATAAAAGCTAGTACATCCTTGAGAGTCAAGATTTACACTCATCTATACACCTTCACTCATGGCAATGATGATCGTTTCAAACCAAAAATGCAGGGCCCGTTAACCACAAGAACCATTGAATGAACAAATTGAAACATCATGACTATGAGCTGAAAAATTGAAGAAACATTGAACCATTAATTACTCATCTCAAGCATGTTTGAGAGAGGTAAATAGCAGCTTAAGTCCCAAATGATTACAATCAACCTTTCCAACACCCAACCTCCACTAAAACATCAATACATTAGCAAATCCCATAGATTGCAACACAAGGAATGGTTATGAGCTTGTTAATGCATAACATGTAAAATGAAATGCTTCTCCTCTGATCACTATTATTTCGTGCAATCAAAAACACCTCTTCTCACTTGCCAATCAACACAGATCAAGCGACACTATAGCCTAACAATTTTACAATGAATAGAAGGTGAGCTTAACTCGAGCCTTTCACTAGTATAGCCAAAAAAAGAAGAATGGTAGTGCAAGTTGCTATTAAGAAGGTGCACTTAATGATCTAAGTGAAAAAGGGATTTTCATCCATAGTGGAACCCAAAACTACAAATAAAAATCCAATGTGGCATTACAAAAGGTCCTTTTGGTAACCTTCTAATCTCTACTATATTAAGAATGGTGAGCAGAAGTCTTAAGAGAAGAGTTCAAGTGCTCATTTTGTAATATTTAACTTGTAAAACGAAGAAGAAGAGGAAGAAGCAAAGCAACTGACTCGTAAGACAACTCTTCCCATGCTCCCCTCTTAATTTTTATGTATTACCTTCACACAAGCTTTCTTAATGATCCACACTACTAGAAATATTTCCTCAACCGAAAGTATCACATAACTCAAAGACATTGTATTTATTATTTATTTCAACATCCATCATCTACATCCTATTTAGCCACAACCACTACTATGGATTGTAGCTGATCAACTTATACCCCCTTCTTATGCCATTTAAAACCTTTTACACCAACATCTAATGATTATTCCATCTCAATTTTCAAATGTCAAATTTAAATATAAAACTTCTATCCTAATGGAATTCAATTTTTCTCTCATATAAAGACACTAATACCATTGTCTAACTCAAAGCCTTATTCTCTCCTTACAAATGCTTAAATCAAATCCACCCAAACCAATTATTGACCAAAGAGACAATATGAGTGAAATGAGAAAAAAGACGGACTTGATCATGACCCTCTCATATCGACTCAAGCTAGAAGCTAGACTTTCCGATGAGCAACCAACTCAATAGGCTTCCATTACTTTTGGTCAACCCCTGAGGCCTCCTATGACTTTTACCATCCAATAATTGTTATAGCCCTTGGCAAATAACCATGGTCTAATAAGAACCACAATCTCTTTTATCATTAGTTCTTTTTCAACAACAGCTCATCCAGGATAGCAAAGTTTCTTCTTGGTAGGCATCCTACATCAAGTCAGATTTCGATGGTGCGCAATGATTGGTTATGTTCTTTGCTTAGAAAGTTAGATTTATTTATTTTTATCTAGCGGAGCTATTAATAGAGCTTTGATCCATGCCGAAAAAAGCTCCACATAAATAAGTTAAGTGTCTGTCATTCATATTATATAAGTTAGCATAATGAGAGCTCCACCTAATCATTCACTCAGAAGGCTAGATTTATTACATGCTATTTGTGGTTTTCATGAGTCATTGGTGCCTTCAACCATAGTCAAGCAATGTTAAAGAGCAGGTGGCTCCAATGTACACTCAATGTTTTGAATGGGCTTCTGTGTATGATTCTAGAACATGTCATTTTAGGGTGAGCAATGACCAAAGTATAAAGCTCTCGTGTGAGAGGAAGATTGCTAAGGCACGCGAGACTAATGTGTTTAGTCATGCATTATATAATTAAAAATATGTTGGTTCAAAAATAACAAGCATTTAACCCTCACGCATATGCTCAAGCTTTTGAATTGAAAATGGGTGAAAACATTAGTGTATAGCACAATCTATGCACGCTTTTGTTTCACATTCCATTACACTTTTCACAAATTGTTAATATTCATTAAAGAGTAATTCTAATTTACAATAGCTCGTATTTTACTAAAAATGATCTCTTCACCAAAGAGCAAGGCTATTCACCCAATATACATATTAATGGAAAATAATTTTCTATAATACAAGAGTTTCACTAAAAACTAAGAGCACAAAAATCTTCATGTTCTTCCCTCCACACTCTAATCTTTCCACTGAAATTCGATGATGGGTTCTTAAGGAACCCTACAGTATGTTTTGGGTAATTTGTATGGGTGAGTTCCTATTTAACCCTTTAGCAAACTCTTTCAATGGGTAGACTCCCAAAAAAATAAAATTCTAACAAGCTTCACACAACACAATTTGAGTATCATACAAGATATTATAGCACTAACACAGCAATTCTACCTGTAATAAAGACAAAAGCATACCTGAAATACACCAAGATTTATGTTGTAATCAGACTCGGGCAGTGTCAATGAAATAGTTAGCTGCAGTTTGTGGTTAGGTGGTATAGCCCGCGCAGCAACATTCTCCGTAAATCCAGCCTTTCCAACAAAATCTAGACCGCATCCAGCAGTATTGCATGGCATTAGCATCACAAGGGCATCAGGGCTAGCCTTGGTGTAATCAAAACTTAAACTTCTTATCATCTGTAGTGGCTCTTCAACAATTCGGCTCATCAGAAAATTAGCCCAGAAAAAACTTGTTATCAAAAGCCCAGACAGCGCAATGCCAACATAGAAAAACCAGAAGCAACCCCAGGCCATTCCCCCAACTAATTTAACAATTCGCTCTTCTCTCTTGAGCGTATCAGGTATAAACGGGCTGAGGCTCTCCAGGACAGTCTTGCACACCCACAACGTCGTCTTCTTCAGTTCATATTTTGTACGTCTTAGCGTTCCAAGAGGATTAACAACAAACAATAAAGAATTATAGGTCAACCATATCGGAAATGTTAAGAATCTAATTAGCATATTAACCTGGAAAAAGATCGCTTTAATCACCAAATCAGTAAGAGAATCTAGAATACTCTGAGCTGGATATTCATGACCTATTGCCGAAGGTTCATCCCATCGGGATGAAGTTTCCTGGCCAATATCTCTCCCTTCAACGTTTTGATCAGACGTAAGCGTCGAAGTCGTAGTTTCTACTCCATTGGAGATAGTCATGTCTTCGATATCGGGAGGGATAGTACCCTGCCTTTCACCGAAGGTGGAAATCTCAAGGTTGGTATCGGATTCGCAAGTCGGAACGTTTGTGTCCAGGTTGTGGCGAGGCTTAGTAACCCGGAAAGAAGAACGACGACGGCGGAGGGACGTCGCTGAAACTTTTAGTAGAGTAGCATCAGTGCCTTCATTCTCCGGTTGATGTCCAGTCATTCCTGGCGGTGAAGAAGGCAAGGAATCAAGGCTTTCGTTGAAATCCGGCATTGCAGAGTCGTCAGAGGCATCGAAGAAGGGATCGGAGGAGTCTCCGCCGCTGCTAATTGCTCCCTCCATGGAGGGGGTGGAAGAAGAAGGATCGAAGGGGGGATGAAGGACGGGGTAAATTAGGAAAAATTATTCCATCCGATCTCCACCGTTCGGATCATTTTTGTTATATGGGTACGCCTCAAAAAGTATTGAAGTGAAACGGTGTATTTCGTAATAACCCAAAATAATTTCATAATACTTCCCAAATAACTTTTGTGCTATTTTAGCATTATTTTTGGGTTATTTTGAACTTATTGAAGAGAATTTCATATATTCATTTCAATAACCCCGAAATAACATTCACGGCAGATGTTATTTCAGCACTATTGAAGTGAAACTGCGGAGATTATTTTGGGTTTATTCAAGTGAAATATATGTGTTTCTCTTCAATAATTTTAAAATAACATCATTGGTTCCACTCCAATAACCATGAAATAACATCTGCGGTGTAGCACACGTAGCGACATATTATTGAAGTCAGCAAGTAGAGCTAAGCCCGTAGGTCCAGATAAATTTTTTTTTCCCAATTGAAGGCTTTGAATGAAAGTTTTGGTTGGTTAAAATATTATATTTAAAATTTTGGATGGTTAAAATATTATGTTTAAAATTTTCGGTACTTAAAATGTTATATTAAAATATTTTGAGTTTTTGCATGTAAAATTCTCCCTTTTTTTTTTTAAAGGAAAATTTACATAAATAGCACCAAATTCTTATGTATGCTGGTCAAGCACTTTTGAAAGATGAACCAATTACCAACTCTTTTATAAGATAAGGTGAGTTAGTTTAAACGTGTGTGCAAAAAATAAACGTAAATAACTTCGTTAAGTGTCTACTTTTGATTATTTTTACGTATATTTTATTATACTTAATTTTATTGTGGGTTAGAGAAAAATTGTTACCTTATCGGATGAGTAGTAAATATTGGTAGTTGATGAATACCATATAATAGTAGATGTTAGACTACATGTGAGCTACTTCATTATTCTTTCTACGAGAGAGGAGATCAATAATTGAGAAGGTAGAAATTAGCGACTGACATACATGAATGATATAAGGAATAAAATTATGTTATTGAAAATATTGATTGCGAACATGAGTTTATAGTTCGCCTTAACTTGCTTCATGTATAAAGCGTGATTGGCGCTTAGAAAGACAAATATTAGACATTAATGATTGATTAATATGGATCCTAGTTGTTAATAGGCATAAGGATATTGTTTATGAGAAAGTCAAACATTTGGTGAAATTGAGTGGTGTAACTTGGTCCTTTTCCTTATATGAGCAAAGATGAGATAACATTGAAGGAAGGTGCAAACATTGGGGTTAGAGAGACATCAAATATTAATAAGTTTGAGATAATAATTGGCTAGAAATGTTAAAATAAAGTGAAAATTTATGATTGTTCTCATAATGGTATGGTGAACTAGCTGCTGTAGTGCTTGCAGAGCAAAAAATGGTAAAGAAAATGCAAAAGAGGAAAATCGAACAAGATGTTTTGTGAAATTTCAGAAAAAAATCAAAAAATATAAAGAACTACGTAATCAACTTTCTTAAGACAACCAAAGGGTATTATGGTAATTATTAATTAATATCCTATTATAAAAATACTTAATATATAAAGAAGTAATAAGAAAATGAATATAAGTAGACATATAGTTCAACCGCACCACAAGTAGGTTCAATCAGCATTCTGCATCAATTGCCCTCCACATAAAAAAAACTTAGCTCGAGTTCTCATACTTGCATTCTACTACCATCAAGCGGGTAATACACATAAATGTCATAAATGTTAAAATTAGGAGAAATGCTAAATTTTGGAGGCATTTCAACCGAATAAGCATTATCATTTATCTATGCAGTAATTCGAAATGATTTATATTTTCTAGGCTTGAACTTTGAATATATTTATGTTATAAAATGCTCTTTCCAAAAGTAAACCATAACGGGGTCTTCAACAAAAAATTCTTTGTGGATATGGTTTTGGTCAGAAGTTTATATTTAATGATGTTAACTGTAAGGGAGCCTTGCACCTCTTGGACTAAAGTAGTAAAAGCAATAGTAATATTGTGACAACAACATTAATAGGTATTTGTAAAACCGATAGATCATCCACTTGGTTTGATCCCTTCGTGTAGACAATATTAAATGGAGTACGGCCTATATACCAGTTTATCGATGAATTATAAGCAAATTTGGTCTAATACAAGATCTGATCCCATATTCTTAGGTTGCTTATTGGCTAAAAATTTGATCATATTAACAAGTGTTTGGTTGGTAACTTTGATTTGACTGTCAGTTTGTAGATGGTATACTAAACTCAACTTCAGGTCTGATTAAAATCACTTCCAAAGATCACAACAAAATTGACTTACTAATTTAGCACCACGGTTAGATGTTAAGCTCAAAGCTATGCCATATAAATGAACAATCTCTTTGAAAAATTCTCGCCACATTGATGACATTCAATGTCTTTTTGCAAGCAAAAAAATGAGACATTTTGTAGAATAGGTCCACCACCACCAAAGCCAAATCTAGTCCATGTTTGGTTTTACCCAGTCCTAGTATAAAATCAAGGCATAGATCTCCACAAATTGTGTGTGGAATCAGTAAGAGACTGTACAATCCAATATTTTATGAAGTTGCCTTGCATTTTTTGATAAATATAGTTGCATTTGACATATCTCACAACTTCTTCTCTCATCTTAGGCCAAAAGAAATGTGCTTGTAGAAGTGTCATGTCTTGTCTCATCCCAGGTGTGTGGTCAATCCGCCACTATGAAATATTTGAAAGCATATGGGTGTATTAGACACAGATAATTGATTTTCCTTTAACATTATCCATATTGTCAAGAATAATCTGAAAAATATTGTTGCACTTGGCATCGCTTCCATGGTTCAGAAAAAATTGAATCCTCCCCATATAGATCACTGATGGATTCCAAGTCGGTGATATTGATAAATAAGGAAACCAGTATACTAGCTCATCCACTCAAAGCATCAACAACCTTGTTGGACTTTCTTAGCATTTGAGTGAGCATGAATTTCTATGGCAAGAAAATTTGGCAAAATTGCTCTTAGGAACAAATCAATCTGATTTTGTATGGCTCTACAAGGGTTTAGAAGACTGAACATGTCAGTAGGTAACACCTGGTCAATAACTCTTTCACTTATCATAGTGTGGTTAGTAACTATAACTCCAAGCAACATAGTTTGGTCTCTACATTCGGAGAGGAACTATGGTTCAATAAGCATAATGAAAGCAGATTTTCCATCTTAGATGGTTCTTCAAGTGAAAGTGCGGGTGAATTATTATGTAGAAACCAAAATTTTCTTCCTTGCCATTTGAATACATAAGCGTTGCTTATGCCATCATACCAAACTCCTGAATCATATTGCTAGGGTCTTCCTAATATAATTTGGCAAACATCCATGTCAAAAGCATCACAAATTACTTCACATTTACATGTCTTCCCTATAGATAATGAAATCTGATAGGGCTCAGTTATTGTGGTTTTAACATCTTTATTTGCACATCTTATTTTATAAGGATTGAGATGTTTTGAAGTCTTCAATTGCACCACCTTGAACATCTTTTGAGAGACAAGATTTTTGGAGCACCAGATGTCGATAAGGAGGTCACATAACTTCTCTGTAATGTGCACCTTATGTGTAAATTTTGATGTATAAGAGAGGTGCTTGTTTGTTCTGGCTCCCCTTCATCTTTTGTCAGACCCTTACACTTGTCGATTGTGTGATAGCTGCAGTATTTTCTTCCTCTTCTGGCTCACCGTCTAACTGTTGAGCTTGAACCTGATTTAGAAAATCATTAGAGGAATGCTTTGGTTGGAGACAACGAAAGCGCTTTGATGGTCCTAGTTTGCGGTATATGTTATATTTGGTTATGCTTTATGATGCCATCAACAACATTTAGATTTATCGGTTGTTGGACTTGAAGCTAAATCATTCTAATGTTGGGGTTGTAGTGTTGCTACTATTCATTTGGTGGCTTCCCTCATGACTGCTTCTACGATTGAAACTTAAGAGTTTGGGTAAGATGCATTTCAACTTTATTAGCAATTGATGGTCTGTGAAAAATAGTAAATTTAAATCATTTCCAATTTATCGTCTATAGCCTCCTTGAGACCTCTAATATACCTTGCAACTAACTATTAATCGACGTCATTCATATTATTGTGGGCACTTAGCAGTAAAATTCTTCTATATCAAAATGATTTCCTTGGGGGTACTATGGATAAAGCATTTGCTCATAATCAAATGGGAGAAAATAGTTTATCATAAGCTCCTTCATCCTCCTCCAACTTTGAGTATAGCTTTTACTCTCTCGTATGTGGGTACGAGTGTGCTAAAACCCACCATGCACTGACTCCACATTGTAGTTTAGATGAGACATATTTTACTTGTTTGCCTACCAAAATATCCATATAGTCAGAGTAGGAATTAACTGATTGTTCTCAATTGAGTTAGCCACTACGTGTAGGTGAACATTAAAAAAACGAAATATTAATTCTCACCTTGTATTCTCCCCCATTTCTTTTGTCATAGTTTCGTTGTTACCAGTAATTTGGTTCGCCCATAGCAATGCATGGGTTTGATCATATTCTAACAAGATCGGTCGCCAACAATGATGGTGATCTTTGTTAGTCACCAAATAATCAAAATGATTGGTTAACTCTATTCGTTAGGGTCGTCATGGGTATGAGTTATACCAATATTCTCTCATAGAACACGTGTGTTTGCTTACCCACATGTGTGGTTGTAGTGGGATGCAAGGCCATATTTTTTATCATGTGCAGTTATATTCTCATCTAGGGGTGTAAACGAGTCGAACACGAGCAAGCCTAGGCCGAGCTCATATTCAACTTGTTAAAAAATTCAACTGTCCATGCCCGACTTGTTTATATTTCGAATACAAAAAAACTTGTTCGTGACTGGTTTGTTTGCTTCGCGAGCCGAATATGAGTTGTTCGCAAACAAAGAGTTATTTTGACAACTTTAGTCATTATATATATAGTATGTTGGTTGGCAGTTTCGACGTAAGTCTTCTTTGTCCTAGGTGAGGTGGACAAACACATGTTGCCGTCCATATTTAATA